ATAACGCGATATTCGTGGTGATATGCAATAGTCGTGAAATATAGTTTTCAGTAGTGTTTTTCATATCACTAGGGTGGTGAAACTCCAATGAATTTCGAGGTAATTTCTTCACCGAAAATACTATATATACTCCCTATTTTGAAACCCAAGTCGCGCACTTCAAACTTGAAAAAAAAGCTCTTCTGCGTGCATCTACTGTAATTCCACTGTGGGAAACAAGAATCATATCAGAATGCACCTGCTATTCACCAACAACGGTATAGAGAGAATTTAGTATATATAGTTGTCAAAATTACTCGGCGATTTAGGGAGTCATCTCGAGTCGCTCAGGTCCTCTACAAGACCGTATGGAAGTGATCAGACTGTCGGGCTACGACCTACCCGAGAAAGTGCAAATTGCCACGCAGTATTTGATTCCTAAGGCGGTGACTGCTAATGGACTGTCGAATCAAAAGGTACCCAAAGGAGCTTCTTGTTGGTTGTGAGGCCGTATATACAATTGTTAAAATATCGGCTTTTTCGCGAATTTTTATAATATCGCAGTACGTGGCATCTATATTGGATTGGTTTCACTTTGACTATATAGAGTTCTGAGCCGATTCTTTCACCAAATATCCTAGATGTTTTTTTCACCAAAATTTAGCATTTTTTGAAGGATTGTGGTCAGCGAATGTTTACTTGTTTATTTTGCGATTTTAGGTGGAGTTCACGTCGAAGGCAATTGAGGCTCTCATCAAGGGTTACTGTCGAGAGGCTGGTGTGCGCAATCTTGAAAAGCATGTAGATAAGATTATGCGAAAGCTCAGTTTTATGGTTGCCAAGGAGAAGGAACAAAAGTGAGCTCAGCAACACCGCATATGTTGGTGACCGTATGAAAATTCTAAGGAAATTTTTGGGAAATTCCCGTTGACGCATCTACATTTCTACCTATATCATTACCTACTTCATATATAAAGTTCTGTAATTAGCTTTGGAAACCCCTAAGCTCAGCTGAGGGAAGAGAATATATCCCAACACTGAGCATCGTATCAACTCATTAATCGCAGTACTTGAGTCTATGGTAGAGTTGCAGGTCGCTCCTTGAGAAGGAAGCCACGACAGCCGAGGAAAAAGTCGCAACCACCGTGGAGGCGAAAGAAAGCGAGGGTGCGGTAACGGAGGAAGAGGAATATGGGAGAAGGGACCCGTCGTTGTTATGGGACGTGAATAAGGAGACTGGATGTGATAAGCTGATGAGAGAGGTATGTGGTCAATGTCCGCTACTGAATTCTCTCATTAACAGCTTTGATAGTGTAGCTGAGTTGTTATTATGAAAGTATGATCTCATGGTCGCCGTGCTGGTACGGTGTAAAACAAAGTATTATAATGTATAGTATATGGGGTAAGGTATTGATCTGTTTCGGAAGTTGGACATTGATCTTAGGACCACCAACACGATAACAATGCGCGTCTACCGCCATTTGTGGCTTTTTCTCGTAGACGACAATTCAGATTTCTATCCGTTCTTTGCACGCTCAAACTTATATATGCCAATGTGGTGTTGTGAAAAGGTTTATAATTGTTCAGGTGCCTGAGAATGTCGACTGTATCATCACCCCCAAGCGGCTGGTCGATCTAGTTGGCAAACCTGCATTCACCAGCGAACGCCTCTTTGAAGGTGGCTGGTGTTGACTTTCCTACTCTTAGAGCCTTGTTGAGCTAGTGTATGCAGGTACATCCCCTCCAGGAGTCGTGATGGGACTGGCTTGGACAGCAATGGGAGGGACAGTTTTATATACGGAGACTGTCGTGGTATGTAGGGGCTGCGATCAGTCTTCTGTTATATGATGGGGTCAGGTCCCTAGCAGTGATCCTAAAGGTGGGATTGAGATAACCGGACAGTTGGGGGAGGTCATGTCGGAGTCTACTAAGATCGCCCTCACTGTGGCGAAGAGAGTGAGCGACTCTCTTGTGTAGGTGCATGGAGTGGGTCTGCTGATCAGGTTGTTCATTCGATCCAACCTGACTCTAAGTTTTTCGATACGACGAAGATACATTTGCATTTCCCTGAAGGAGCTACTCCAAAGGACGGCCCTTCGGCTGGAGTTACTATTGCTACAGCATTGTGCTCTCTGGTGAGTTGGAGCGCCTCTTGCAATACCGAGGTTGATGTCTTTGCAGGCTCTACAGAGGTCAGTCAAAGACAATTTAGCGATGACTGGAGAGCTCTCGCTCAGTGGTAACACTGTGGATGCACGCTGTCTCTTCGGTGTATTGTCTGTTGTCAGGTTTGGTATTACCCATTGGAGGAGTGAAGGAAAAGGCAATTGCTGCCGTTCGAGCTGGTGTCACGACGCTGTGTTTACCCCTACAGAATAAACACGATGCAGCAGAGCTACCAGAGTGTGTATAGTCGCGACTGGATTGTTAGTTCGTCTTGGCGATCCCCCGCATGTTTGAATGCGAAACTCCTAACAGCTCTTGGAAGTGATTCGATCCGTCGTTCCCTTTGGAGTCGCCAGTCAGTCTATTAATCCGTTAAACACTCGCTTAGAGAATCGTGACGTACTTGGCCATCATGTTGATTGTGGCTCACATCGTGTGAGAGTTTTCTCTCACGTTTAAGTTTTTGATGGCTTATAGGAGCTTTGCTGGAGAACCCCTGATACTCGTTTCTCAGGTATCTTAAGAGTAATCTCACGATTTACTTCGTGCGAGACTT